GAGAGAGAGAGAGAGAGAGAGAGAGAGAGAGAGAGAGCACGAATGTTGTGCAGGAAAGCACGGATCCACGATGAGCACGAAAAGCACACGATGAGGACCACCCATCGAGCATAGAAGGAGCACCAAGTTCCCGTCAAGCGACAGTCCAAGAGAGAGAGAGAGAGAGAGAGAGAGAGAGAGAGAGAGAGAGAGAGAGAGAGAGAGAGAGAGAGAGAGAGCATGATGAGCACATAGCGTGCCGTCGCATGCCGTAGCGCCCGAGGCGATTGAGAAGCCCGCCCCTTCGAATGGCGGGCCTTTGAAGGGCGATTTCAGGGCTGGGCGCGGGCGCGCGTTCAGATGGGCCGTTTGGGCGGGCCGAACCGGTATGGCACGGCCCAGATTGCGGGCTGGTCACCACCTGCGGACGGGCCAGATCGCAGGCCGATGAGAAAAGTTTCTCATCGGCCTGCGATCTGGGCCGTCCGCAGGTGGTGACCAGCCCGCAACCTGGGCCGTGCGATATGACATTAGCGGTTCTTATAGTATTCTAGAAGTTTTTTGATGCCTGGGTAAGTGAGCACGGTATTCCGCTATCCATAGTTAGCAATAGAGATACGCGGTCCACTAGTCAGCATTGGCAGGAACTTATGTGTATATGGCTCGAAGTTGTTGATGCAGATGTGAAACGCTTTTCACCTATTCGGTAGCAGATGCAGTACCCAGGGCTCAATCCCTAGATCTCCCCCTTACCCATGTACAGTACCCTTTGATCCGTGTGTGTTTGAAACCGCGACCTGTGTTCTGAAAGTCGTACATTCAGCTGTTGTATACAGTGCGGTCGCCAGGTCTTGAAGCATAGGTCTTTGTTTTAGCTGTCCTAGGGTCAGCATAGGTCGTAGTAGTTAGTAGCTCCGAAAGGCCAAGTCTACGGCCTTCCAAAAGTTCCGGAGGTAGCCTTTCTTGAGTCCTAGGGGTCAGTCAGCAGCTGAGTCAGCGAGGGGCAGTCCTACTACAGTCAGCAAAGGGCAGTCCCAGTCTACCTATCCTAGTCAGCGGTACCCAATCCCAGGTCACACTTGTCAAGTCAACAAGTACCACATGGGACTGTGCATACCCTGGGCCAGGGTCCAAGGGCGGACCAACGACGACGAAGTATAAATAAAGAGGCAGCGTCAAGCCATTCATTCATTCTGCCTGTGAGCCATGCGGAGGCGCTGTCTGAGCGACTTGTGTACGAAGGTCTGCAGGTGCCCGAAGAGGAAGAGGGCTAAGAGGAGGAAGACGCGGCCATAGCCGCTAGTTAGTAGGAGAGAGGAAGACGGCAGCCATAGCTGCCTGTAGGATAGTGATAGGGAGTGTGTATGTGTATGGTGTGTGTGTGTGTGGGACATCCAGGGTGATCATAGAGTGAGCATGTG